CAATTATATATAAAATATATCTATTACAATTGTATATAATTTTATATAATTATATATAAAACATTTGTTTGGGGATGCAGCATAAAATCTGCCTATAAAACAGACTAGAAGCTAACCTAATCTTAATAGTCTTGCGTCAAATAGTTCTATCGGAATTGAAAGTAATTGTGTATTTACGGAAAATTAACTCTCAAAAGAAAAGTATTACATTACATGTTTGTCTTATAAAACAGCAAAAAGTATAATACATATAAATCAACAAAAAATTTTTTATATTGAATTGAAAAGATTTTAGAAAATCTTATATACATTCACTTGTAGATATTTGTGTGGATATGGATGACTTCTGTAAAAGAAAAAGAATAAAAATATGTGCTTTATTATACCTACTATATCAATTTTGGAGCTCATTTATCAAATGCTTATTTTTTATTATTCTACAAAAAAATTAACTTTATTGCAAAAAATATTATAAAAACTATCTGATGAAAAACACGTACTTTCTAATATTTATGTTTTTAAAATTTCATTTTTAGTTTTTGTTTGTTGTAGAAATATTGTTCAAAAACAAAATGATATCGATCTCAGTGACTTTCCTCTATTATAAAACGTGATTTTATATAAGAAATAAATAAAAAATTGAATAGTTTTTGAACCAATAAAAATAAGAAAATTGTGCCCAAATTTTACATAGATATCATAACAGAACAATCTATAAAATTTTTATATTTTTAGTATCAGATGTGATATATACAATATATATATACATATACATATATATTTAATATTTCGTATCTGGATACTTAAACGTTTCATTATATTTTAAGTTTTGAAATGAAATAAATTAATTGCAATAACAATCCACGCATATCTAGAAAATATTTAATTTAAGTCAACCTAAGTCTCAATATTATGTAATTTAAGTTTCCACTGAAACCTCTTTGCCTTGTATAATATTTCGCGCTAGCCGGAATTTCTGACCACATCCAGACCATTTCTACTGAGACTGCCTTACTCAAACTCGGCATAAAGCATTATACGAAGCCATCCTCCATACTTACATAGCAAGAAATTTTAACGAGGTATTCGGGGAGAATACGGTAATTAAAGCTTAACTTATTTAAGATGTGCATATAACATAAAATACATACTTCGCACATTTCAATTATCTTATATAATCGTATGTGTTAAATATATTAAATCCAAATTTGTTTTTATCTTTTATTACAAAAATAGCTTGTAATACACGTTTATACGAAGCAAACCGGATAGAGAGCAGAAATCGTGCTTACCTTGGGTCTACGCGTACTAAAATATTGCACAAATTTACCAGCTGCGTTATTAAAAAATAATAAACGTCCAGGTTAACGTTGAAACAATATCAAATTATGCAACGTACGCGTGTACTGTCGACACAAGATTTTGCGGAATGAATATTGCAATTATATATGCACTCATTTCATAAAACCAATTATATTCCGGTTAATCCGCAGGATAAAATTCACATTGCTGATACATGATATAATTTCTGAACAATTTTGCTTTTGTCGACCTGACAGTATCGACAAGCATCTAGAAATGTTGTAATTAGCGGTTTAAATAGTAGTGTAATAGTATTGACAAACAAATAAAGTTTTAATCGTCCATAATATATATACTTAATTGCATGAATTTTAGGTCAATTTTGACTCATACTTGTAAATTACAGAAAATTGTTAACTACACGAAAAAAAATTGATTGGATAGTTCAGCATAGCTATAACTTGCTGCGAAAGTTCAACATCTATAACTGAGAAGATTTGATGATTGTATAAAGAAATTATTTCTGTATGCTAATTCAACTAATTCTTTGTTATAACAAAAATTGCTAATGTAACAAGTTTTCCTTATTACAGCAGTAAAAGTAGCTAACATGTTTTTGTTAAAAATTTGAATTTATATTTATTTTTTGGATTATTTGGATTTATATTGGATTGATTTTCATAGAAAAATTATCTTGTTTTATTAACAAAGAGTAAAGAAAAAAATCGCTCATTTTTTTAGATCCTCGATTTTGGAACTAAATTATGTGCCAAATTTTATATTGAGACACAGAAAAGTTTGAAATTGAAGTGATAATTATTATCAGAACTGAGAAGGATGGAATCAAAGTCCATTATCAAATTATCATAGCTCTGCGAGATCTCGTATTTTAAGAAGATTAATCCAGCTAGGTATATATCAATTGCTTACATCGCTAATTGACTAATTTAAAATAATATAATCTCTAATTTAAAATAATATAATTGATAAAAATCAGTAAAACTCGCTAGAAGCCAATGTGAGTGGTGTGTGCAATTGAACTGTGTACAAATGTGCCACTCTCGATCCAGCCGATGAAGGCAAGGTCAACTGAACATTACACTTATTATAATGATTTTGTAAAGCAATTTGTTTTAAATATAAAAAATGGATTTTCGCATAAACGATATTATTTGGCACACAGTTCAGTCCAAAAATTGAAAGCCCGGAAAAACGGACGAAAAAAACATCTTTTTTCGGTCGCTCTTTGAGCTATTATTACACAACAAATATGACTATTTATAAATTATAATCGCTAATTTTATTCAGCTATACTTTGCTATTACTTTAACATAGAAAATTAACTGTCCGTATATTACGGTTGTAAATTTGTTAAATCAGTGAAGTTTTGAATTGTTTGAATTGTTTTTTTCTATATGTGAATTACAAAATAGGATGCTGCACGATTGCCGGTATAGTGCAATTTGCAGTGACAACATTTATGTATAACAATATATGAAACAAACTTACTTCTCAAAGTAAGAAAAGGGAAAGAGAAGAAATCTTGGAGACAAACCTTAGATGAAGTTATTTCGGAAAATGCATGTACACAATTTGTCGCGCAAAGAGAGAGAGAGAGAAAGAGAGAGAGAGAGAGAGAGAGAGAGAGAGAGAGAGAAAGAGAGAGAGAGAGAGAGAGAGAGAGAGAACATCCGATTCCTTTTACTAGTTTTGAACTCGCGCTGTTCAGAAGTACTCTTGCATGTTACAGCGCTAAAGTATCTGATCTTCATAGATTTAGAAGATAAATTTATTAAGCTAAATACACGCAAGTTACTTCTATTATCCAATGACTTGAAATGTTTTGAAGACACTCTATTATCGGAAATTTTGATCCACAACGAGCGAAGCGAGACTCTACTGTGCGTGATGATATCTCTGTTTGCTTAACGAAATTTTCGCAAACAAAAAAATATTCAATAATAAAATTTTATTAAAACCAACACGAAATTAAATACTAAGTATAAGTATATTCAAGCCTATAACGGTCAAAGTTAGATCTTTTCAATGCTTAAATAATTCACAGTGAATTATCTATATCCTGTATATGCATATATATCATATTTTTGTAGTATTATTCAAACTACGCGCCGAAATTTTTCCGAACTTTATCAAACGCAATTAAATTACTGCAATAATATTGCAAGTTAAATTAAAGTGACAAGCAAATTCTCAATCTTCAATCCAATATCATTATAAGGGTGTTAATATGCTCAAAACTTTAAATAAATTTATTGCGAAAAATATTACCTCGATCGAGACTTGAACCCGGATCTTTTGTATTCCGTACGAATGTTCTAAACCATTAGACCACCGAGGCCTTAGTAATATTCTTCGAAATAAGAACAATAACGCTTCTTGCAAACAGCATGTATAAACAATAATAAGATTTTATTAAGACCGACATGAAATTAAATACTAAGTATAAATATATTCAAGCTTATAACGGTCAAAGCTAGATCTTCTCAATGCCTAAATAATTCAGTGAATTATCATAAAAAGATATTCCTTTATTACTTTAGTTGAGATCCTGCTCAAGTGAGAAACTCAAAAAGAAGCGGAATTGTGCCTGCTCCGTATTTATTTGATCTCATCAAAACGAAAAAAAGGCAATATTTCTCGTATTAAATATTTATTTAAATCTACTTATTGCTTTCCAGTATATGAGCTGTTTCGAACTCGAATAGATAAAGTGATAAATCCCACTTGGTAGAGATTGTTTATCTTTAAAAACTAAAATTAGTTAAACAACAAAATGACAAACTTTTTTGTTTAAAAAGTTGAAACTCATTTGCGATACGATCCCCAAACAAACTGTTTAACTATACACTAACTGATGTATTTTATTAATTATTAATGCAGTATCATCAATTATTGATAGAGCTAATTAGTTTATTGAACACTAATCAATTCTTTTTTCTAAGAAATAACACGACTTTTAATAGAATAATTACAAGTTTTATGTACCGTAATTGAGCAGCTTCATAATCATGAAAGCATATAACGAGAAGATTTACTGCTAGTTTAAAGCCGCTAGTTTATCGCGTAATATTAGAACGGAGAGAGGAGAGAAAGAAGCGCGCGCGACTGAATTCTTGGCATAGATGCTCCCGAGCATCAAGTATCTGTCGCGAACTATCGAAAGTTTTTCCCTTAATTGTATCAGCGAGTTGGCTAACCCGCCATAAGTCTTAATGAGGCTTCATTCCCAAAGTTTGTTAGGCCACGAGTAGACAACATCCCTGTGAGCGAAGAAGTTTCCGCGAATCAACGATGAAGTCTTATGCCGTACAAGTTTACGCAAACTTAGATATTGTCGTTATTTTAATTCAACCTCTATATTAATAGTTGAAAATTTTACATTAAAGTATGACGTCGTTTTATTAAAAATGATGCTGACTATAGGCTGGATGATAACTTTGCTATAACTTCCCGCGGTGAGTAAACTTCTTGCGAAGAATCTCGGCGAAGAGTCTCGGCGATTAATCTCGGAAAATTACTAACTGTGTGTCGTTGCGAAGTAATGCTAATCGTAAAGTTTGATTTTCTAGACTTTCAAGGAAGAAACTGTGTATTCCAGATTTCAGAATAATGAAAAGGTAGATTCACATTTAAATTCAGATTCAGACGTAAGACTCTCACAAATTGGATCATCATAAATTAAATCTCGCCCTGCTCGGTACAAATGTATATATATAAGCGACAATTCATCAACACAAAATTCACTGACCTGATAGAGGACGAACCATCGTTGTTGCCACTTTGTGGAGTCAGCTGTCCTTTTGTACAAATATCCTGACAGCAAATGATCATAATGTGCTTTCTCTGAGAGCATGACCAGTTGGGAATCATTTACTCTCACTGCAACATACACAGACACATAAATCTTGTAAAGAAAGCAATTAAATGCATACACGAAAAAAAAATGGTTTTGTTAAAGTGTCAAAAAATTAGGTTAAATACCAATTTAAAACTTTAACTAGATATCAATTAAAAAATAACTTTATTAGATCATTAAAATAATTATGTAAGAATTAATATATACCTATTCAAGTATATTCCTTAGAAATCTAATATTGGCCAATTTATTATACATTGAAAAACAGGAATTAATTATTTATAGCATTATATTTGGAGCACTGACTAAAAATTCTAATAACAATTTTTAATACTTCAAATAATACTTAAATAATATTTTAATACTTTAAATAAGTATTAATAATTACGATCTTTTAGTAATAAATTAGTCAATATTAGATTTTTGTAAAGGAATGAACAACGTTGTATGTGTAAAAAATTTTGACATTCTATAGCAACTAGCTTGAGCATCCTATATAATTATTTTGCTGGTTCAACAAAATTATTATCAATTTTGTATCTAGCTAAGCTTTTAGATAATTCAGTAAAACTTTTTTTCATGTAGCTGTTCAGATTTTAACGTTTACAAAAAAATTCAATATGTCATCCCGCGAATTTTCTGGATATGTTTGCGAAATGAAATTTGTACAGAGAACAATTCGTTTCTAGAGGAAAAAAATCTGTTTGTAAATTTTCATGAAAATTTAATATCAGGATTGTTATCTAAAATATTACGACATGCACATAATTAAATTATCTAAATTATCTCAATTAATCGTCACTCTTTGTAATGAATTTGGCAGTTCGCGTTGAAACGCGTCTACTTTATGTTTTACATCGTTGCTTTTCTGAGAATGCATTAATTACGCGAACAGAGATCTACCTGCGCAAATCAGCGTGACGTGATGTATACAAACGCAAAATTATCCGAATTGCAAAATCATATACTGGATGTATCTATATATTTCACATGGCACAACAATGCGCTGCATCACAATCATGCATTAAATTATTTCGCTATGTAACCGTTCCAATAGTAGCGCTCAAAGTATCGGCGAATCTTGTTTGCCGCATCGCATCAACGTAAATATTAATAATCCGCCGAGTGCAATCCACGATAACAAACAATGGCAGATCTTACCGTTTATTACAATGAATCGACATCCGATAAGTTATAAAGCCTTTGTGATTAAAAAAAGCGTTTGGTTGAGAAACAAACTAATAAAATTGCGCGGAGGTAAACATTTCAATTCGCAATTAAAAAATTGCGCGCGATCGACGCGATCGATCACAACCGAATAGGAGTTTAATCGGACACTTGGGCGACCGCAAATGGCGTCCACGTCCGTCGCGCGTGCAATCAGAGAGCTACTTTCGAGACTAGATTTCAATCTCCGATATGATTTCTAGTTCAGTTCCGTGCAAATGCAACTTTGGTTTAACTACAGAGCTTTGCAAGCTCGCTCGATCGACGCGAGTTCCGAGCTGCCGCCTGCGCCGCGTTCGCAACTCGCGCAGTTACAGCGGTCGTTCCTCGTTCCGTTTGTCGAGATCGTGCAGTGTTTAACTTTAGCGCAAAGATACGTGACATTTGAGGAACTTTGTTCCATTCGGAGAAATCGAGCTGCAAGTTTCGTTCCATCGTGTCGTGTCGCGTCGATGAATAGGGAAATCGCATAATCCGCACCTATGTATATATCAGCACATATACGAGTACGCCGCTGTACGTGCACCGCGTGTGAAAAATGGAATAAAAGGATAAGAGCGCGCAATCGAGACCGCGATTATTATTTGTATTTATATCCTTGCATGGAATGGAAAATCTAATCTCAGTATAGCATGGAAAATTTTCCGGCAAACAATGGATTTATATAAAATACGAGCACTATCGTAAATTTTGACGAGAAAAGGCAAACTTTCCAACACAAATATTGTAGTTCCGAGAACGGGGAGCACGAACACCTTTGATATCTTTGATGTTCGCGCTTGTATATTTAATATATAAACCCGCAATAAAATACACTATTTGTTTGTTGAAACAGAAGTCACTGGAAAATCTGTGCGATTTTATTCATAGATTTCATTACACATGTTGTAATTAAACTTTGTGGTTGTCGATTAAATGATGGTTAATGCATCTCTTGAAAACATAAATTCTAAATAAATTCCTAAAATGCGAATTTTATGAAGTGCGTTTATTTGTCATATTTCAATTTCATTTAATATTGATGCGTATTCGAATATTAAACGTTATGTAATAATATTGAACACGAAATCAGAAAATTTCATAAAAATGTATGAATTCGTAATTAATGTCTCCTTTTCAATGTTTTATTTTATTTAATAACATGATACGTTCAAAATAAATATAATAATGATCTTTAATTTAAAGAATTAATCAAAAGTCCTAAATTGTTTCTAATCTTACATTTATCATACTTTGTTAATCTCCTCAAATTTGAAGTACTATTATATTAAACAAACGGAGAATTATTTTAATATTACACAATAAAAAGCATTTTATATTTATGTTAAAATTCATACTTGTTCCTTTATGTCAAATTTTTGATGTATCCAAGTGCTAATTTAATATAATATAATTTGTAATTTAAATATTTTATATTAAAATAATATTCCACATTTCTTAGCGTTAAAATAGCATTATTCATAAGTGAATAAATAAAAATAATGTATTCTACAATGTAATTTCAACGATAATGAATAAAATGAATGTATTAATTTAACATATTATAAATGTTAAATCTATTGAAAAAACATGTTTCCACCGTTTACAAATTGTGTCAGTGTTACATTTTTTATATTAAATTCTACATACAATATTTATGTGATTTTCTAACATATTCGTATTATATTGAATTTAACACAAAAAAGATCATTTGAGACACGTGACATGTGTAAAATTGAACATAAATTATCCAACTGTGTAGGCAAGAAATAAGTATCTTTCATTTAATGACATAAATCGATGCAAATGTTCTATCTTTCTTTGCATTTTATAAGTAATACTTATGTCAGTACAGTCATTATAGAATTTGACCCCGGAAAATTCAGGTTGAATTTTTGCATAAGATTGAATACAAACCTTTATTTTTGCATAAGATTGAAGGAAAAAAAATTTACCATTATACAGTAGTCGTTAAGAAAAATAATTAAACAAATAGGGCGCAAATTTTTTACAAATATCTCGATAAATATCAATTTTATAAAAAAAATATAAGAGGAAAATTAAAGAGCGAAAAATTTTACATAAAAAAGAAATTGTGTAAATTTTTGTCGTACGAACAAAATTTTTCACGTAAGAAATTGTACAAGATGTGCGCAGTGAAGTTGCAAGCACGCCTTCAAGAAACAAAGCGAAATGGAATGTTATACACGCATATCAAAAATATCATAACTTTTACGAACGAATTATCATACAGAAATGGGCCAAGATGCGTTGAAAAACTGAAATCTTCATCTTTTTAATGAAAATAGTTTCATTTATTCTACGATTTTTAACAATTCGAATGGATTAAATAATATGTTACATGCATACGTTTTTGCCTTTTAAAATTAGCTATGAGTCGAACTGTTTAAAAAAAAATTGCTTACAGAGTATTACGGCATATATTTCATACTTTGAGAAAAACATGTTAAAGATTTTTTTCTTTAAAATCGAGCGATTGATATTTTTAATAATTTTCAAAAATTCTTGAAGAAACGTAAAAATTGAAGTCGTATAATTTTGTGAAAAATTACCCTAGAATGATTTTTAAAAACGTAATTAGAAGCTTGAAATGTCTATTTTTAGACCCCATATCGCAATATTCTGTTATATTTCAAATTTTCATTTATTTACATAAATATGTAAATTATTGCGAAAAATTTGTTTATATTTGTGCTGATTTTGATTATCATTAACACAATATTTTAAAAATATAAACAAGTGAATATAATGAAGTCGAATATTATATAAAACCATCTTAATAAGTCAAAATTATTGTTCCTATATCTTTAAACATTGTTAGTTAAATACATAATACAAATACATAATACATAATAAAAAATACAATAAAATACATATAATAAACAATAAAATTTGTCAATGTATAATAAAACAAAATGTATAAAGATATAACAATGCATAATGAAAAAAAAATTGAAATGTAAAGTACTTATTAGACCTGATTAAATTATATATACAGGGTGTGTCCGATGAGACTTCTGCCAAGTGCTCTTTGTAGATAGATCGAATTAAACTGAGTCAAAAAATCCTCTACCATTTTACAATTTTCATAATGGTTAACGAGATATTAGTTACTAAAAATTCTCGAATATTGATCTTCAATAATTTTTTACTCAAATATTATTACTTTAAGAAAAACAGCAAAAGACAAAAATTATTTATTTTTTTCTCATAAAGTTCTGAGAATTTTTTCAGAATTTTTTCAAAATTTTTTATCAATTTTTTAATGCTGCATTTTCTTATTTTTATTAACATGAGAAAATACTAGAAGATATTAAAGATTCTGAAATTATAGTATTTCAGTAAAAAATTATTCAGTAAAAACCAATATTCAGCAATTTTTAATAATTAATATCTTCGTTAACTATTGCGAAAATTGCAAAATGGTGGAAAACTTTCAACAATTTAGTTCGTTCTATTTACAAAGAGCGCTTGACAGAAGTCTCGCCGGACGGACACACACACACACACACACACACACACACACACACACACACACACACACACACACACCACACACACACACACACACACACACACACACACACACATTCTGCGCATAATTTAATAAATTCTAAGTACTTAATATGTCAATTTTGTTATTATGCTTTTATTATGCTTATTATTGTTATTTTTATATATTTTGTTTTATTATACATTGACAAACCAATTAAGTTTATTGTTTAGTATATGTATTTTATTGTATTTTTTATTATGTGTTATGTATTTTATTTTGTATTATGTATTGTTATTTAACTAACAATATATAAAGATATTGGAACAATGATTTTGATATGTTAAGATTTTAAGATTTTTATAATATTCGACTTTATTATATTTACTTGGTTATATTTTTAAAATATTATGTCAATAATGACCAAAATCAATACAAGTTTAAACAAATTTTTCGCAATAATTCACATATTTATGTAAATAAATGAAAATTCGAAATATAATATTGTGATAAGGGATCTAAAAATAGACATTCCAAGCTTTCAATTGCGTTTTTAAAAGCTATTCTACTATAATTTTTCACAAAATTATATGATTTCAAATTTTACGTTTGTTCAAGAATTTTGAAAATTACTGAAAATGTCAATAACTCACTTTTAAAGAAGAAAATTAACGAATTTTTTTTCTTCTCGTGAATCAAAGTCTCGTGTAATCAAAGTATGAAGTATATACTGTAATACTCTGCACTTTTTTTAGATAATTCGATTTATAGCTAATTTTACGAAAAAAGGCAAAACACATTACATGTAACATATTATTTAATCCATTGTCAAATTATTAAAAATCGTAGAATAACGAAATTACTTTCATTAAAAAGATGATTTTAGCTTTTTAATGCCCATTTCTGTACAATCATTCAAAAGTTATGATATTTTTGGTGCGCGCGTGCAACGCTCCATTTCGCTTTGCCTCTTATCGGCGTGTCCGCAACTTCGCACTGCGCAACGCACATCTTACATAAATTCTTGCGTAAAAAGTATTGCTCGTACGACAAAAACTTACAAAATCTTTTTTATGTAAAATTTTCCGCTCTTTAATTTTTCTCTGTCATATTTTCTTTGTAAAATTGATATTTATCGAGATATTTACAAAAAAAACCGAAATTTGGGCCCTGTTTAATTATTTTTCTTAGTGATCACTGATACTGAGTGATCAATGATAAACTTTTTTCTCCTTCAATCTTATGCAAAAATAAATGTCTGTGCAAAAATTCAACCTGAAGGTATTTTTTCTGAGGTTCCATTCGCAATTTTCGTCTAAATTGATTGTACTATGTCGACTTATATCACTAAATAGATGGCACTCATGATTTCCGTGCATTTCAATAACAATAAACGGAATATATCTCACCAGTTTTTTGCATTTTGGGACTGAGCATGATTGCAGGTCGTTACCAGAAGGGTGCCTCCCTACAGTCGTTCTTCACAGCGATTGATTGTCCAAATTACCTTGTTTAGGTTTTAATAGTACAGAAAATTACACCTCGACGTTAAGCGTCGAGAACGTATCTCGATCGGTTTGAGAGACGTCGATCCGCGCAGATTCATCAGAAGCCGTTACATCTGTAAAAAACGCGAGAAAAAAATTCGTTCGATAAATAGTGTAACATTATTGGTTCTATGTCAATAAAGCGTATTACCATAAACGATTCACAGAGATAAATATTGTTGACAGATATCATTAATATCTGTTAATATGTTTATCGTTACGGATACATATTGACATCGGATTTAGCTGTATTGCCGCAATGCGTGATATTATCGTGTTTCATCATAGGGACGCTCAGAGATAACGTTAATTTGTATAAATCAGATGGATCATTAATTCACGATGAGTAAATATTATTATCGAATCGATTTGACGACGTAACAAATTATTCATATTCTTGGACAAACATCAAAATTAATATAACTACAAAAATATGTGCTAAAACATAATGTTATGGCGACTGAATTGAAATTGTACAAAATTAAACTTGATTTTATTAAAACAATGACATCAATTCAAAATCCTGATTCGTCATTCTGTTTCTGAACCCCTATTTTGTAACTCTTAACGATAGTGTCGGTATCATTGCGCAATTATATTTCTATATATGGGAAAAAAGCTGTGCAGCAACAACGAGGAAGATAATTCGAATTGGAACCGAAACATCCGCATGCACTGTAAGATACATTCTGAAGGAATAAAGGACACAATTGTCACAAAAAAATTTACGCTCCACTAATTGTATTAGACTGTTAGAGCCTTTGCCCATTTTATAATTAAACGATATTAAGAATTATAGAATGGAAATACTAATCTCTTAACTCATTTATTATATTATAAAGACCATTTCGCGGATTTTTTTATTTTTACTTCGTAAAGGCGAGGACGTGCGAACTGTCGCTATAACGGAAATTGAAACGATAGCATACGCAAGGACCGCGGAAATAGGATCTTAAACTATTTGCGATTAAATTCAATTTCTCGAGTACTTAATAGCTTTAACGATGGTGCGATTTCAATAGTAATCATCAACGATAGGAATGATTACTTCTGATTCCGGCTGATTGCAGTTTGATTTTTTGTGTGTATATTAATCCTTATTCCGAGATATTGATCTATTAGAACACAAGGCATTAATGCCTTTCAAATTCACGGAAAAAAAGATATGCTAAAACAACTAAAAACTTCATGCACTAAGTCAGGAAATCTATAGCCGTAATATATACGGACAGCCAATTTTCTGTGTAAAGTAGCAAAGTTGTACAGCTAAATAACATTAACGATTATATATAATCACATGTATTTGTTGTAATAATACAATAAATTTGTTAATACAGAAAAGATAACTTTCTACAAAAAAAAGTAATCCATAATTAATTTTTAACAAAACATATTAAGATGGCACATATTTTTATTATTATAATGAAGAAAATTTATTATGTTAACAATTTTCATTGTAGAAAATTAATTGAATTAACATACTAATAATTGGTTACAGATACAAATTTTTTATTAAATCAAATTTTTTTAATTATAGATATTGATTCGCCTAGCAAGTTATAATTTTGCTGAATCACCCAATTTATTTTTTTCTGTGTAATAAAGAAAATAATATTAGAGTAAAATAAAAAAACACTTCGGAAATACCATACGCTGAAAATGACACCAAAGGGTTAATATGTATAAAATATAATAATTAATATTTTAAACAAAAAAATTATTTTTACCTTCTAGGCAAGAAACATTATCTTTGTGCGTTCCAGTGAAAGATTCTATAAAGAATATGAAACTAAAAACATTATAAATTGGTTTCTCGGAGAATTGCAGTTGCAACAAAATCTTTCCTAGTAGTTCTGATTTCATCTTTTATGCGATATATGACATACCGCTATCGGAGAACAGTAAGAGAAGAGACAAGTCTTTTTAACTAATTCCACTGTTTTTTCAAATAAAATTATCTTTTCTTGCATAAATCGGCATTCTTCAGCTCTTTGTGTAATACTACTAAGCTAAAATCATCAAAAATGAATATTATATAACAAGAGATTTCATATTTTATTATTCTCTAATATATTCTAATATATAAAATATGATATTCATATTTTGTAAAAAGTGTTCATTTTCCAATGACCTTATTTTATATGTAAAATGAGAAGAAGAGTCGATCAATGTAAAAAGAGACGTAGCGACATTTGAAGGAAAAAAACAATTGCACATTGCAGATGCAATGGTGTACCTATGTGCAAAGAATAGAATCATCAATCGATCAAAGGTCAAAGTGAATATTTTATACGAGATATTTTATATGTTATATTAGAATAAAATATGAGGAATCTCGCTTGCTTTTACAGAATTATAAAGAGAATCAATCTATACATATATATTGTATGAAAACATTTCGAGAGTAGAAAATAAGTAGCTAAAATTCTGGCATTCTATGTACATAAAATGTACTGATAAATCTCAAAATGTTAAAGTTGATTTTATGACTTTTAATCATTTATAAGAAAATAATTTGCGACACTGTTAGTTTTACACCCTATATATAATGATTATATTATCCCTATATAATTTTGCACGCAAAAACTCGGTAATCGATGGAAATTTATCGACATATACATTATTGCTTATTTTATGGTTTATAAATATCTCTGCGTTTACGCCGACAAATGATCAAAGTAGGATGAAATTCGTATGTAGTCAATTTACAAGTGGAAATACACTGAGTTATACGATAGCTTTTTATTTAAAACTCGTGAGCGCGTAGCTCTAGGAGTTTTCCGATAAATACGCCCAGCTATATGAATCTATTTTTTTTTTATAACACTCGCCAGATATACCATTTTAAAAATACTTCTTTACATTTTTCAATTAATTATTTTATTTGTTTTATTATATTTTTTCTGTTACTTTCCAATGTTTGTGATAGAAATTTTTTCAATTATATTTTCACATTCGTTTCAAACTTATCTGAAAACACAATCGACCTAATCTCAAAGCCAATAAGAAAAGAAGAAAAGATAGTTATAATTCCGCATAATTTAAATCCATCGTCATTTGCATTTACATTAATGAATCGTGACAAGAGCTTTTTCCTCCCGAGTCGATATCCGAATAAAGATCTTGTTTTTCTTGAAAAAGTCTAAAGTCCGCAGTCGAATGAAACTTGAAAATACTACTTAGAAAGAGAATTGAATAGAATAAAAAGAAATTGGCATAATAGATAAATTTGAAATGTAAGAGATGGATTTTTGAAAGGTGGAAGGGAGATCGCTTTCTCTCGTCTTGTATGAAAAAGCTCTTTCAAAGTTGCTTCCCTCGATATATGTATATATAAAATGGGGGGGTGAAAAGAGGGAGTGAAAAGAAAAGAAAAAGATCAAATAGACAAAAGAAAATTCAAAGCGTATTTCTTTCACAGTACCTGCACGTACTTCCACTCTTCTCGCGTTTGTCCTTTTTTTCGCCCTGCCACTGGAGTCCTCCGCAAGAAATCCCGCCTCGCCACCTGTTCGTGCGTGCTCTCAAGACCGCATGCCTATAATCACCACCCCCTTCTTTTTCCCGCCGCTCCGTACGACAATCTCGGAAAATTGCTGATATTGCTCGTCTTTCTCTTTCCTTCTTTTCTTCTGCAGTCACGAGATCACACCGGAAGAGATCCGTCAGCGCGTGCCACCGCCGATTTTCTCACGCTGATTCTTGACAACGATTGACAATGCCGGTTTTTATTTCCGATACGACCAAGGCGGCGATGTAGACGCGTACGATATAAACGTTGGCGGAGACGACGTCCCGTGATGACGGACGACGGCGACAGCATCCGATGCTCTTCTCATGGTCGGGAGACCTGCGACGCTACGGTGTTGGGGGTTGCGACGTGCCTGACGCGCGAGGGCAACCGACCGACCGACAAGCTCCGTCCACTGTCTATATATCGCGGCACGCGCGCGTCCACCGCCCCGTGAAAGGATCCTGGAGGCTGCGCCGGATGGGCTAGCGAATGCGCAAGCTCACAAGCCTCGTAAACTCACCCTCTGCCTGTAGACACCTCACCTTCTCGACCACTCTTTACGAGCAAGAAGGAGAGATAGAGGTAGATAGATAGACAGAGGTAGCGAGCGAGCGAGCGAGAGAGCGAGAGAGAGAGAGAGAGAGAGAGAGAGAGAGAGAGAGAGAGAGAGAGAGAGAGAGAGAGAGCTGTTTATACCTGCCTGGTTCTTGCCAAGCTACCTTGGATCCAACCTCGAGAACACCCCCGTTGGCTATGCAATCCAGGTCGAACCAAGTTGGGTTGTATATATTAGCGTTAATAGTGAAAAAAGTTTATTTTAGTTCTGAAGAAAATCCCTCGATAGATAAGCGCAACAAGTACAGTATACTAGACAAAACTTCTTGAAATATATTAGGTGTACAACTTTGCTTCCGCCGTTTTCCTATAGATGGCTTTAGCGGTAAGTGGTGGTCGAAATAAATAGATCATAGACGTCATACAATAAACTTGGGCATCTGTCAAC